CGATTGGATACAAGTTGGGACTATTGGGTAAACTTTGAGTGGGAAACGATGAGTTAAGTGTGGATTCGAGAGTGATGTGGAGGAGGTTGTGTGAGAAGGAGGTCGTGGTAGCTTACTGGCGATCGTCGGGTCAGCTGAAGGTCATTTCAGAGGACAGGATGAAAAGGTGATGTGCTGCTGAAGCCCTACATTCCACTTGGAACCCAAGGGAATAATATTGATAGTAAATACAGAGGAGATTGTACTGCTGGTAAGATCTGATGATACACAGTTTCATAGTTTCGAACAGACAAAAGCTGTTTGTGAGCTAGTTACATTCGAACAGAACACGTACATTTTATTTCACGTGTTGGTCTCCAGGGTATTGATTGGTTCCAAGTTATATGTCATCACGAACTAATGGCAGTTAGAAAATCAGTGAAAAACTACTGAGAACTTAACAGTATTCTTCTGTTGGTTTGTAACTCTTTCGTAGTGCGCATCCATGATCTTTACTGCAAAGTGATCCTAGGAACTTCGTATCGCTAGGCTAGCTCGTCCCCCCTTCAGTCAATAACTTGCAAATCCCAACTTCTATCAATTCTCACATTATTGTGCTACTGGTACCTAAGGTCACTAATGAGTGTTTGTCTTAACATGTAAACATAATAGACCCACTAGCGACTTCTGTTCATTAGAAGTCTGACCATGCACATGGTCCGGGTTCGATTCCCGGCCAACGCACACCCGATATCAGTGGTCCACCTGCAACCTTTGGGCTACCGATATCACATGCTGAAAATTCCACACTTCTATCAAAAATACTGTGTGGAGTCCTCAAGCTATAATAAAAATAAAATAATAACTCCATTCCATACTAAGTAAGAAATAAGCACATTCAGAGCCTGAAATACTATTCTTGAAAATCATTCTAAAATTGACTTGCCTGGTAACCTGAAATACTACATCCGACCTTTCATACGGTCGCAAATGCTTACTACTGAAGAATCCCTGACAAGGACGAGATATCTGTCTAACAGTCCTTGGTTTCCAATGGTATTCTGAACACATCGGTATTTGAAAATTCCATATATGTACCAAAATTACTGTCTGTAATAAAACTATTATTATTACTTCGATTATTATTATTATTTCTATTGACGAAATCTATTTTGATGTATATATATATATATATATATTCCAAATTCTAGTTCACCATCACTTGGTAGTTTTTTGGTTGCGGTTATCAGTCTTTAATCTCAACATAACGGAAACAGATGGAGTTGTCATTCATTCTTTTGATTTAACTACATGTTTCAGTCATTTTTCAAATGACGGTATAATATCATCTTGGTCGAAGTGCTGTATGGAACTGCTCATATGCCAGTTGAATTTACAGTTGTTTTACAGGGTTATCCATTAGTAATTACTGAACTGTTGGGGGGGGGGGTTGGGTGGCGCATATGCCTCTGAAAAATAATCAATAATTATTACTGGAAAGACTTTTCATCTATACATAGACTTAGAGTTAAGAACAGAGATGAATTATAAATAAACTTTCTCTGAATTGATAAAACTGCTATGAGCACAATATGAAGTTTAAACTGTCTCAAGAACCATATATTGAAACATATTGACAGTATTTAAGTGTTGGTGTGTAGGGATTTGATTGGTTACAGGATTTCATCATGAGCTGACAATGATTAGAGAACCACTGGAAAATCTGGAGTACTGGACAGCTGTTTCGTCCTAGTTCGGGACTCTTCATCAGTGCGCACCCACCACAAGGAGTTCGAACCCAGGCTATTGAGCTCGTAGACCATTAAGCCACTGGGACCCAATGGCCAGTCCATGAATTCTTACTTCTGCCAGCCAGTTCACGACATAGTGCGACCACTAGCCAGTGTATTCGTCAAGTACTTGTCCTCATACCCAATCTGCTGCTCCCTATTGGTCACGACTCCTCAGTAGAACTTCAGGTAACTACCTACCTGAATAGGGTAAGTTGCTAGTGAGCATCTCATCGATATTGACAGTATCTTTGTTACGACTTGTTGTGGTCTGAATACAGAAAACCCATCCCTGAATTCTACTACATAGCTGAAGAAACTTCCTAGACACACGCACAGTGGCAAAGAGATCCAGAGACAGAAAAAAGACGATTGTTTATAGAGGGATGTATGTGTTGCTATTCAACAATGATAACATTAAAAGCTCTAAATTACCACAATGATGCCGTCGAAAAGTTATACAGACAAGGTAAGTTTTTTAAGTACAAAACAAGTAACACAAAACAAAATTTACTAGGCAAAATCAAAACTCTGTCCACAAGAATCAACACAAACACTTCCTGTAGACAGTTCTTAGTTAGAATAACATCATAGAACACATCAATAATGTTTCAGAATTCGATCGTGAACTGACATCGGTTAGAGAACCATTAGAAAACCTGAGAGTACTGGAGAGCTGTTTAGCCGGAGTTTGAGACTCTTCAGCAGTACGAACACACTGAATTCCAGGTGACCTTCAACGTCGGGATTGGTTGCTTTTGTGTGTTTTCACAACCTTTAGGCTACTTATATTGAGAATGATTATTTCTTTGACTTGAACTTTGACCCCTTGTGTGTGAGGTTTCATTCTTATCGGTTGATAAATTTTGTCTATCTCGATGTGTCTATTGATTGATAATTCACTGGAATACCAGACAGACTTCTAAAAATTCTCTAGTATTCTTGGTGTTTCCTCTGCCTGATATTTGAACGCTGGTTGTCCCAGTCGAATTGATGTCCGTGGTTGTCTGTATGCAGTGAGGTGATATGACGGAGTGGATATCATGTCTTTTGACGACTAGCTTATGATCGTGGATACAAAGACGAAGGCAACGTCCACTCTGGCCAATACAGTGTTTTTCTCAGTTGTTACAATTTATTTTGTAGATAATTTTGGTTTTATCTTCTTTCGTTGTTGAGTCTTTTGGCTGACATAGAGCTAGCTAAGTGAAGTGATTTTGTTGGTTTATGTACGACGTCAATTCCTAAAAGTTTGAAGAGTCTTGTAGTGATTTTTGAGACATCCTTTATATACGGTAGGGCGATTTTCTGAGCGTTTTCCTCGTGGTGCTTTTTATTTGGTAGGTTGGTTTGCGGATAAATGACTTTCAATGAAGTTCCATGGATATCCATTCCATCAGAAGACGTCCATAAGGTATCTTCCTGTAATTCTTCATAAAGTGGGAGGAAGTATGTGGAAAACACACAAAAACAATCAATCATATTCAAAGTCACCCACCGGGAGAGATGACTAATAAACTCATGGAGAAATCTGTTAACTCACTTCAAACTGATGTATACTCAGAAGATCGGCCAATGAAAGCTTCTCAGATAAACCGTCCAGCTAGTTCAGAGAACACAACTACATCAGAATCATCCACATGAGCTACAAATCTTCTTTATCATATCTAGAAGAAATGACAGCCTATGAGAAATCGTCGGATCAGTTGAAGAGAGGACTGTTGAGAACAGGACGAAATGGAGATGTGCCGTTGAAACCCATATTTTCCACTTGAAACTTGAAGGATCAATAATATTAATATGATGTAGCTATATTTTGTCAAGGAACCGGCTCTGTAAACCAGCTGGTATGAACTTCACTGGAACTTCACTGGAATGTTTTAAAACGAGCTTGTTCTGTTTGCTCTATTGAATTAGAACACAATGACTGCAGTAAGTCGATGATGAAATTGACATTTAACTATTAAATGACCTTATCTGTCATCATCCAGGTATGACATTAATTGTATCAATAATTTAAATATAATACAGAAATAAATACTATTTGGTGTTACAGCATGTTTGGATTTACAGTAACCATGGTTCCCAGATGAAGAATGAATTTAGTTCAATTTGATTGGCTAACAATTGACCAATCAAATTGCTTATGCCCAATAATACACTTAATACAATATTCAATAATAAAGTAGGCGAACTGTTTCAGTTTTGCTGAATTCTCCTTTATTCTCAGAGAACATTAAAAAACCTGGATTTCGGCAATTTAAATACTCATATCGATAAATAGTTCGTGTGATTAGTTAAATAACTTAGGAAGGAATGTTGATAATATTGAAAAGAAAAAAGGAGCCTACAACAATTTATGATCAGTACAACATTTATTTATTTGTGACTGACTTTTCTCTCATGTACACAAAAAAACTCAGCACTTTGGATAAAATAATGATAATATTAAAAACAAAACAAATTATTGGTTGAATTGTACAGGAATTTCGTTTTATTTCATCATGAGAATGAATGCATTCATTGTCCTGACGATTAACTCTTCAGTAGTATGTGGGGTGCTATGGTTTGTCTACCTCTCTCTCTCTCTCATTGATTAGTGCTCTAAAATTTGTATAATAAATGTGTGCATAGTTTATATGCAATCCATTCTAATAGTATAAATTCTATCATATTTCAAGGTAAGTGGAGTATAGACACACGTGCACGCACACACACATGTTAAACTACACAGACACACATATACACATGTCTGAGCTGATACGTGTGTGAATGTCTATTGGTGTGAAGTTATGCCTCAATTGCACTGCACACATATGCACATGTATGTAATGATTTGAAAGACACACACGCACACGAACAGACACACATACGGAGAGAAATACACACACAGACGATTGGTTAAAGTTCAACATAAGTATAATTCAAAGTATATTTACCTTGCTATGCCTATAAAGCATTTTAAAATCAAAATAATACAGTGAATTTTTTGTTTTGCTTTGTTTTTTTTGTAGCAAAAATGGCAAATAGAATGAAAACTTTGAAATTAACCAAACAAATATAAACATCATTGACACTTTTCTGGATAATTTTTAAAATTTTCATCATCATTTGTAAAGAGGCTGAGAGAGGGTTAACAACTGTGTAGAGTATGATGTCGAATTAACAATCGCTAACTGGAGTTATCTTATCTATCTATACGACATTTTATATCCGCACACACGCACACAAATGTCGAATCCATCAGAAGAGACAAACATTACAAAACGTTCAAGGCTATTTAAGGGCAAGGTGGTTCAACACAGAAATAATCTGAAGAAAAGAAGTCGACATAGTCATAATCCTAATCACCGTCATCAAAGTACAGGAGATATTACGCAATCATGTATACAAATGGATCAAAATGGATCAACCATGTGTAATAATAGTACTAAAGATGACACTGGAAATACTGGAAGAAAAATGCCTCGATGGTTACGTCTTTTGAAGTTGACAAGTATAAGTGCTACCACAAATATCACATTAGATGGACTGAATAAAACAGACAATACCACTGGTCATCATCAATATCATCATCGTCAAGGGAATCTTAACTCACAACACCACCACCACCAACAACAACAACCCCAAGAAGAGATTCATTCATTCCTCGGTAATCTTGGTATTGGAGCTTATGTTGGTGAAGAAGAGAATGCATTTGTTAATTCCGATACTTCAGAAGATATTCAGCTGACAAATAAATCTTCGAGTAAACCAATATCAAAGTCGATGATAAATTTATCATCGATTAGTCTATGGCAACCTAAACGTAGAACAAGTGATCAGACAAATGATACAGAAGCGTTGACTAAAGAGATTGTTGACCAGTACAGTTGTTCATCACGATCATCTCGAGTTAGTTGTGCCTCACAGACGTCATCATCATCGCCGCAACCACAGCCGCCAGCACCACAATTACATCCCAGTCAACATCCCCGTTTTCATCCTATTTAAAACAGAATGATTCACCCGCTGATAAGATGTCAACCTCAAAGGGGACGACAACAAGAACACCAACAACAGCAGCAGCAATATCACAGAATTTAGATCAATTTCGACAGAGTGAATTCTATGAATCAATGCCTCTGATAATGAAGACGGTTATTCACCAAACATCTGTTCTAAATATCAATACTAATATGAAACAGAATTATTTTAAAGGATTTATGTCGAATAATCTAACACCTAAGCCTTCAACAAATACAATAACAAGAACTAATAGTAATAATAATAATAATAATGATAGTGATGATGAAAATGGTGAGAATATTACTCATCGAAAGAATATTCATTATCCAGCTTGGATGATTATACTGATGAACAGTTGCAGCTGGATACAACATACTCGGTGAGTTCGATTAATATTATTATTTATTATTGTTCCCTTGGTTTCATAGTGGAACATAGGGCTTCAACTGCACGTCTCTACCTCCCACTTCTGTCTTCCTTCTGCTGTACTTTTCACCTCCATCCATGTTAGTCCATATTCTTTCAACTTCTCCTCTTCACATGATCTCCTCCATGTCACCCTTGCGGCGACGTCCCATTCGCCGCTTCCCATTCTGTTGGGTTCCACTCGAGCAATGGCCTGACGCGCGAGCGATGTCATCCAGTGGTCTCTTCAGCAAGTGTCCACTGAGTGTCTCCACTTTCCCCGCATATTTGCTGTTGTTGGGTGATTGGTTCTTGTTTTGTTCGTTCCTATCCATAGTTTCTTGTTGATGATTCTTTCCAACCCGGCCATCTGATCTTCAGTAGAGAGCCAGTGAATACAGTTTTTGGTTGATAAAGGTATGCATGCAACAGGCTGTTGGAAATATTCTTTGTGACCCACCCGCCCGCAAGTTTCTGATCCGTATAGAAGAACCGAGTGACTGACTTGACGTTGTTTGTATTGAAAATCCGACCGAATTTTGTTGTTGATGATGGCTGAGTGACGAAGATTTCCAGATTGGTTGTTTCAGGTTGATGAGTGAATGTGTTTCTTGCCTTCCCGATTCTCGCTCGGTTTGACATCCTTGTCCGTTCCTCCATTCCTGCAGTTGAGACAATGCTCCCTAGATAAGTGAAGTGAATGAAGTAACCTCTTTCATCAAATCCCCCCGTTGATGGTGATTGGCACTGGTTGTTGTGCTGTTGTTGTTGTTGGTTGGTTATTTTCATAACCTCTGTCTTGTCTATGTTCACATGGAGTCCTGTCTTCGCCGACTGCTTCTTTGACCAGTTTGTCAGTTTTCGCTCGCTTGAAAGTCTTCGATTTTGTGTGACATCAAGCATAAATCATCCACGCGCAAAATCCAGGTCTTCTAGGTTCTTTACGTCTGTCTGTCCAGGATATTCCTGTCTTCTAGTTTCCCACTCACTGTCTGACGCATAATCTAGTCCACCACAATTAGTAATATCATTGGTGATAATAAGCACCCTTGTCTGACTCCTATGTTTACTCGACATGTGCCGTTGTTGTACAGCTGTTGAATAAGGTTGATGAATATTTGGGGTACGCCAGTGAGTTAGATAGATACTGTCATTATTCGCTTGACTTCCCAGTGGACTATAAGCCTCCAACAGAACATTTGCATTTCACCCTGTTCTCTTTAGTCCTCTTTAGCTGGCCTCAAGATCTCCGGCATATCCTCTTTGGATATATACCTAACTGATAGGTTTCCATTCGAGTTCCGCTATAGAGCGTGTGAAGTGTGTGATGGGCGACAGCTCCCTTGGTTGGTTGACTATCTACTAGACTTCTTTGTTGCTTGCCTTTTACAGCTGGTCACCCGATCATCGAGCGGTCAGGAATGTGTTTTAGTAGTGCTTGGGGAAAGTTTTTGAGTTACATTGAAGTATTAATATATGCGCCAAATTTGGGCACTGTCGGAGAAAGTAATTCCATATCAGTTTGTTTATTATATATATCACACAGTGAAATACTATTATTTTACTGGATGAAGTTTCGAACACAATTTATTACTGTTCATAATCATATCATCAATTATAATCACACAACTTCCAAACTTGAGTTTTATATTTTTCTTTGTTTTCTCCTATTTGTCGTCGTTGGAGTAGTAGAATTTTTCAAATGTCCACTTAGACAGCTGTTGGATCATTCCTGTTACATATAATTGTACTTCATTCGATAAAAAAGGCTCCTATTATCAATCTCTTCCTCCCTACACCATGTGACATTAGATTTTAAAACTGTCATCCCAACCCATCATCCTATTATATGGTTGTGTGTAGCTGCATATGGTGAGTGCTATAGCTGAACTTTTCTCTAGATTTCTTGTCTTATTTGGGTCAACCAATCTAGATTTTGCTAGGTTTTTATGCTCGACTAGTCTAACTGACTGCCCTGTTCTACTACTTTGACCTATGTATTTTACCTGACAATCATCGCAGGCAGGGTATTAGATAAACTAAATTGTTTTGTTTTAAAGGCTCCACAGGATCGACCGTTTAACCGAGAAAGCTTGTTTCCAATTGAGTTTGTGGGCAGTCTGAATGCCAACCATTTTTATACCTGGCTTTTTAAGAATTCTCCGTGAGGTTTTCGAGGTTCCTTCCTTGTATGGAATTACTACTGATGATTTAGATTCTTTATTGTTTGTGTTGTCAGTATCCTGCGCATATTTGACATGCATGTCGTCATTAATGTTAGTATTTTTACATTTCCCTACATACTTTCTGACTAATTTCTCAGGGTAATTATTAATTAAGTTTCTAAGCTTCTCTAATATGCCTCACTTCCTGTCTAAGATTTTCTTTGGTGGTACTACTTAGTTTTTGTGCTCTATTACTTAGACATTTCACCAATCCTATTTTCACTGACATAGGATGGGATAATCGGAATTTCCAAATATCTGTTTGAATGTGTGGGTTTCCTGTAAACACACTATTGTGTTTAACCTCCCATCTTCTTTCCTTTAATACGCTGCAATCTAACACTGGAAGCTCCTCTTCCTGACTTTCCAAATTTTGTTAGAAACATCATCCAGTAAAAAGTAATACTGTTTCACTGTGTGATATATATCTAATAAAAAGACTAATATGGAATCTTATTCTTTATATTTGTCACGACTAAAATTGACTTGTGGTCTGAACACGGCGAAATGCTCTTTATGTCCTACTGTATAGCTGACAAAACTTGTTTGAGGTAGGTGCAGTCATGAAACCCTGGAAAGATCGGAAAAAGACGATAAATTTATTCAATAATAATAACATCAAAAATTCAAAATTACCCCAACTACCCTGTTAGACAGTTAGTTACACATTAAGGTGATATGAAAACTTCTATCCACGTGAATCACACAACAATTCTCCACAAAGACATCGAAAAATTAGAATGACCTTTATTCATTCAAATCAAATGTTGGCAGAAGAAGCATCAAGCATAGGACTTCAGGTGAACATAGAGAGAACAGAGGTAATGTAGATTCCTGGCCAACACCAACAGCAACAACAACCACAACAGACAACAATCAGTATAAATGGGAGGAACTTGAAAGAAACAACCTCCTTTACCTATCTGGGAAGCATCGTTTCAACTGCAGGCGAACGGAACTGACGAGGATATCGAAGCAAGAATCGGGAAAGCAAGGCAAGCTTTCATTAATCTGAAGTCTGTTTGGAGGTCAACAGCACTCAGAATGAAAAATGAGATCCGGATTTTTAACTCCAGTGTGAAGTCGGTCAGTGCTACTATACGGATCAGAGACCTGGCCAATGCGTCATAAAGAGCACCTCAACCAAACTGCAGAGCTTCATCAATAGCTGTCTTCCCTCAATACTTCTCAAGATCATATGGCCAGTCAGAAAAGATCAGCAACAGGGAGGATCTCTGGGAGCGAACCAACCTAGCAAGAATCAATTAAGTAATAAATATGCTGGAAGAAGTGGAGGTGGATTGGTCATACTCTGAGAAAACAAACCATCATCAAGTGACATTACATTAGAAGCCAACGCTCGAGTGAAACCCTAACAGGAAACGGCAAGTTGGTTGTCATTGCGAGGATGGGGTGATATGAAGGAGGTCATGTGAAGAGGAGGTGGAAGCATGTGAGCAGACGTAGGGCCAGGTGAAAATTCCGGCAGAGAACCGAACGCAATGGAGACGTGCAGCTGAAGCCCTATGTCCCTCTATGAACTAAAGGAAATACTCAAATGAAATCGCATTGTACAACACAACCACACGAGAAAGAAACATAAAAATTAGAAATTAAACAAGGACAGAGACAAAGACGAATAATAAGGATCAAATCAACGGATGATAAGCACACGTGAGAACAATGATATACAGTGTGGGAGAAAAACGGATAATAATAGTAACAAATTTAATTGAAAAATCCAAATACGTATATAAATCTTGTGATTAAATGATCCTGGAGGGATTTTCAAAACAATCTTTACGTTTAAAGTGTTGAATGTAATAGATTACAGATTAATAAAAGGACAGTTTTGTTTTTTTGATGCCGGCTACCTCTGACATCCTTTTTTGTACCATTAGCGGCGTGTAGTTGAGATGATGCTACCTTGATAATTGGAGGGGGCGGGGATAACTTTTCTCCGAATTTCTCTCATTCTTGATGATTCATGCTCATCATGGTTGTGTGGTTATGGATTATTGATTAACCTCTGCCATCTATCTCTTTGTTCACTTGATATCCTGTAATAATTTCAAAATATAAAAATTAATCAATATTTAATTATTGATCGTTTTGCTCTTATCATTGTTATAAGAGATTAAAGGCATGATCACTTCACAATTAACACAAAATACTATTTTTTTTAAGTAATAGAAAAAGTTTCCAAAAAGATATTGTAGTTTCTGAAGTAGAAACTGAAGCCTACTTATTATAAATATTATTCCCGTGGATTCCGAGTGGAATATAGGGCTGGCTACAATTAACACATCTCCACTTTCTTCTGTTGTCTGCCGTCCTCTTCAGCTTTCCCCACGATTCCTCAATGCTCTTTCATCTCCTCCTCGTTGTCACACGATCTCTTCCATGTCTACTGCGTACCGAAAATCCACTGTCCATTTTGCTCCTACATATTTGTTAGGTAATTGGCTCTCGCCTTATTGGTTTGTTCATCGACAGCCAGAGTTTCCTGTTGTTAATACCCCTATGTCCAAGCATTTGATCATCAATCTGAAGCCAGCAAAGCTGGAACCTATTGATAAAAGTCTGCAACAGGCTGTTGGAAATCCTCTTCGTGATACGTTAACCACGTTTCTTACCCGTATAAAAGAACTGACTGACTTCACATTTGTGTTGAAAATACGAATCCATCTTGTTCTTCAGGCTGGCTGGTTGAGTGAACCAGAATATTTACAAACTGGTTTCAGCTTGA